AAACCAAAAGCTTTTTTCCTTTTGTAAAAGAAAAGAAAAAGCAAATAGGATATGAGAAGGAGGAAGACATATTTTAAAATGCTTTCTGTCATCTTATTTTGTCTCCCTGTCTTTTATTCCTTCAAACTCAGCCTGTTCTACTGTCATTTAGATTTTTCATTTTAGTTAATATTTGACATTTTCTTGACTTTCTTTTTATGTTCTGGGTTAGTTTGCTAGGTAAAGTACACAGACAAGGTGATTTAAACAATGGAAACTTATTTCTCACAGTTTCAGAGGTTGGAGCTCCAAGGTTAAGGTGTTGGCGAAGCAGATTTTGCTCTGAGGCGTCTTCCCTTGGCTTGTAGGCAGCCGCCATCTAGGTGTGTGCTCCTATGGCCTCTTCTGTTCATGCAGGGAAGAGAGACAGCGGTGGGGGGGTGGAGATAGAGAGAGCAGCTGTTTTGTTGCCCCTTCTTATAAGGGTACTCATCCCCACTCTCATTACCTCATTGAATTCTACACTTAGTCCATAATACTCATGTGTGTGTTTGGTGTGTGCATGCGAAGTCGCTTCAGTCGTGTCCGACTCTGCGTCCCTATGGACTGAAGCCCCACCAGGCTCCTCTGTCCATGGGATTCTTTAGGCAAGAATACTGGAGTGGGAAGCCATGCCCTCCTCCAGGGGATCTTCCACACCTGGGGATCGAACCTGTGGCTCCTGCACCCCCTGCATTGAAGGCAGATTCTTTACCTTTGAGCCAAACAATGTCCAGTCCAAAAAAAAAAAAAATTAGATTTTGCATTGGCAGTGGAAGCAGAAAATATAGACCTGGGGCTCCCAGCCCAGTGATGGCAGTGACTTCCTGATCTCTGGGTAATTTCTCCTCCATTTATTCTACCAATCCTTCCTATACTTTTGTAACTCATGCCCTATATTAAATTTCTCCTTACTTGAAATATCTCAGAGTTTTCTGTTTTCCTATGAAGTTTCTAATTATTTTCCACTGCTTATTGCTAACATAAAGGAAGGTGCTTGCTTTTTGTATGTTACTGTCTCAGCCTTCATAAAAAGTGTTATTAACTCCAAAGGAAAAGAAAAACACAGCATAACAATTCACAAATGTTAGTCATAGAGAAAGCAAAACACACTTTGTTCCTCTAGCATCTCTTAATATGTACAGCTTTCTGATTTTATACTTGAAAAAGAGTAATGTTGTATATCTGTAATAACATGTGTGCTCAGATGTGTCCAACTCTTTGTGACCCCATGGACTGTAGCCCGCCAGGCTCCTCTGTCCATGGAATTTTCCAGACAAGAATACTGGAGTGGGTTGCCATTTCCTACTCTAGATATTTATAATCGTTGGAACCTGGTCATGTATGTAGCACATCAGATCTGTCTCTGGTTGTAAACATTTCAAGGAGCACTTTACCACAGAATTGGAAAGCTCAGAGAATAGCCCACATACACATAGGTAAACTTCAGGCAGGTGACCTTGTTACCAGTGGAGGCATGTGGATAAAACACAAAACAAAGTTAAACTGGTCATCAGCCTTCTCACTTGGGCAAATCAATTTCTCTCTGCTTCAGTATTTTCATTTGAAAATTCAGGATCATATTAAAACGTCACTTCTTTATCCACATATCTCCACTGTCCCTTACACTTCGTTGCCTATTGAGGTCAAGTTGATGCATGGACCCCAGTTATGCTGAACTGGTAATAAGGTCACCAGAGATACTATAGCTACATCATTTAATGCCGCACTGCACAGACCAGACACTGTATTGTGCCGTTGCTCCATGCGCTTTGTGTGATCCCACCATGCTGTCAAGTAGAGTGTGGTGGGCGTCCTGTCCTGCCTTGGCCAGTTAGCATTTGGAGCCTGTCATGCTGTCCCTGTTCTGAATCAATTGTGTTCTACAATATACATTTCTCCCTTGAGGATGCTGCAGTTTAGATGGTTCTGGTGGTAGTTTCAGCCCATAATAGCTGCAGTGAAGACTTGTGTGCTCAGTCACTTCAGTTGTGTCCACCTCTTTGTGACCCTGTGGACTTTAGCCTACCAAGCTCCTCTGTCCATGGGATTTTCCAAGAATACTGGAGTGGGTTGCCATTTCCTTCTCCAGGAGATCTTTCCGACCAAGGGACTGAACCTGCATCTCCTGCATTGCAGACAGGTTCTTTACCCACTAAGCTTTAAATCCCGCAGGGAAGATTTGCTGTGAGGCTAATAAAGCACAAATTTCAGACTTACTTCCGTCACTTGCACAGGCTCTTGAGAAAGACCTTAGCAATCATTTGGTCGTAAATCTTGGTAAATTTTATAAATTTTGCAAAAGTAATAAATAGTCACTGCAATCAGTGAAGACTGCTATCTCTTTCTACTCTTTTCCTTTTGTAAAAGGTCACCTCTATCAGATGGCATCAAAGTGGTCACAGACATTTTTTTCTTTAATGATTTTGTGTATATACATAAAAGAGAGCTTCTAAAACTGTAGAACTCCAGACCCCTCAAAAGCTGAATCTGTCCTCCTCCCCCACCCCTCCAATCTCTGTTAAAAGCTATGTTGTTAGGTGTAAGTTCATATTAAAAATAAACTCTGAATGTATTTAATTGAATGGTCGGTTCTGAGGGACTGACTTGTCCCCTTTTGATCACTCTTATCAAGTATTTACTTACCACATACTCAATGCAAAGAGTTTATTCTGTAAAATGGCATATTGCAAAGGGGGGTACTTAGATTCTTGTGGGTGGTTAAGAGGAACTTTGCTTATTTAAGATTGTGAATGCTGACTTAGAAGCCATGGTAACTATGGCTAACGATGGTTACTCCTCCAACTGAGTGCCTGGGAGTTGTAGGTGTCCATGTCTTATCTGAATTTGCTGGAAGTCAGTAACGGCTGCTCATTTTATCTCTGAAGTCCACACTGCACCAGTATATAATGACAGTTTCTAGTTCCCTAAATTAACTCCATCCTCTTCACTCATTCCCTGCCTCTCCCTGGGCCCACCTACCCCATTAGGGACCAAATGCCAGAGATTTTCTTGGATGTACAGTTAAGTCTTAAAAATTTTATTTATAAGGAAGAAAGAGTTCAATCATAGACCCTGCTTTCCTTCTGTGTCCAAGTCAGAGCTAAGCCAATGTATCAGAGGCTTGAATCTCCCTAAACTCACCCCTTCCATGCCTTCTTGCCCTAATCTGCAGCCATACAAGGCTGAATCCCTGGTCCCATGATCCTCACTTCCTCAATAGCCTCCAAAGAATTCAAGTTCTCTTGGCTTAAAGGCCTTAATTTCCTGGCAAACTAACACACCAGAAAGGCTAACATGCCTCGAGCAGTGCAGGAGGAGCTGGTGGGCAGGGAGGCCCCAACACAGTGCACAGATGAAGCTCTGGGAACCTCCAGAGCCCAAAGTAAATTTGGGCTGTAAAACTGTTGGAGAGGAACGTGAATCTGACCTCACCTACAGTCTCAGGGAGATCACATAAACTCCTGGACCTCAGCCCCTTGGCATCCATAGGTCTGTTCTCTATGTCTGTGAGTCTATTTCTGTTCTGTAGATAAGTTCATCTGTGTCATGCTTTAGATTCCACACATAAGTTATTTTGTATGATGTTTGTCTTATTCTGACTTTGTGTACTATGATAATCTCTAGGTCAATCCATGTTGCTGCAAATGGTGTTATTTCAGTCTTTTTTTGGCTGAGTGGTATTCTATTGTATATATGTACCGCATCTTCTTTATTCATTCCTCTGTCACTGGACGTTTAGGTTGCTTCCATGTCTTGGCTATTGAAAATAGTGCTGCTATGAATACAGGGGTGAATGTATCTCTTTAAATTATAGTTTGTTTGGATATATGCCCAGGACTGGGAATGCTGGATCATAAGGCAACTCTACTCTTAGTGTTTAGAGGCACTTCCATACTGTTCTCCCTAGTGGCTGCACCAATTTACATTCTCGTCAATAGTGTAGGAGGGTTCCCCTTTTCCCACTCCCTCTCCAGCATTTGTTATTTGTAGAAGGAATTTTACATATCTTAATTCAGCAGGTACTCAAAACATTTATTTCATTCCTGATTTCAGGTGGGGAAACTGAAATAAGTAGTATTTCAGAAGTAAGGTGGCTGTTCAAGGTAAAACAGACAGGTCTCCTGATGCCAAAGTACGTGCTTTTGTTAAGAATTTGAGCCTTGGAATCTAACACGCATATGAAATTTTGCCACTAAAGAGACTTTGGGCCTGTCCTTAGTCTTTTGAAGCCTCTATTTGCTCATCTATAGGATGGGCGTAATATTAATAATAATAGTACCTACCTCATAGGCTGATTGTGTTATATGGTGGCATGCATGTGTCTGGCAGAGGGTTAGTGCTAAATACATATTAGTTACAACATTATTATCACTGTTTCGATACTTCAAATTGCTTCCCTGTAAACAAACCTGTTGACTGTAAAATGTCTACTGCACATGGACACTCAGCAAATATTTGAATACACGGGCAAAAAGAATCATTTGACGCTTATCCTAGATTACCTTCTGAATCATTTTTCCAGCTGCAATCAGGTCATCAACTTAATGATCAACAAATATTATTCTGCCCTCACGCACCCCCCTCCCCCAACTCCCCGCTGCACCAGCTGACTCAGCAGAGCCAGGCACCAGTGGGAGAGGGCAGCCAACACTGGGCAGCAAACGGGGAAAACAGGGTCTGCTTCTGGTCGGGGCTTGCTGGAATTTGGACAGGCTCGCCCCTTATTTACCATGCTTACAAATCAGCTGGGAGAATTACCAGATTTGTGGCAAGACAGAGGGTTTGTAAACTAGAAAGAGAAGGGCTGCCAAGCGTGGACCGGCTTCCAGGGGACCGGCAGAACTGCAGTTCCACGGGCGAGAGGAGGTCAATCGCTCATTTCTCTGGAGAATAAGTGACAGAGACAGAGGCAAATGGGCCAATGGAGGTTAAGCGTAGAGGGAATGTCCTTAATAAGCTCCCCAATGGGAAGCAGTTTTGCTTTTCCTGGCCCTCAGGGCGCTAGACCAGCCACTAGCTGGGAAAACAAGTGCTGCTGCCAGAGTCTTCTGTGGGTTCCAAGGCTGCTTTTGCAGAGACAGGTACTTGAATCCTCCCTGCTTTCAGCTCAGGGGTGGTTCTGGACCTACTCCATGAGTTTCGGGTATGTCTCCGTGGGGTCAGGTGACAGTGATTCACAAGTCACTGGGCCAGAAAGGACCTACCTTTGCTGGGTCATTTTTTCTTTCCTGGTAGCTGGATATTCTCAGCCACGGGTTACTTTCCCTCTCAATTTATTTGTGCTATTTTAAGAAAGTTTCTGGGAAGGGGAGGCCATTGTGAAATAAGAAAGCTGGTAAGGGGACAGGTGTCTGCCTTCTGCCTCTGGGGGACATGCACGGGGCCACGCTCCAAAAGCTTGCCCCTTGCACCTTGGTCTGCCTCTTCCCTGGGACCCTTCCCGTCTCTTCCCTCTGCCCTGGCAATCCTGTTTTTCTCAGCTAGCCAGCCCACTGGGGAGCAATCAGATAAATGTATGGCTGAGGAAACCGCATAGTGCCTGAGAAACCGAAATAACATGCACTAAACCACATTGGAAGACTCTGAAATACCTCAGTGCCAGAGACCTTCAGAGAGAGAAGCGAGCCCTGACTGCCTTTGCCCTGCTCACAGTGAAGGAGCCGCCCTCGCCCCTCCTGAGAAAAGGTGAACTTTATGTGCAGGTGGCCATGATTTGTACCACGTGACCTGATGCCCTGGCTATTGCTGATTGGATAAGAACAGGCAATCGTGCCAAGGACAAATTTAGAGGCTCTCTCAGCCCGATAAGCTGGGCTGGGGCTAGAGCTTTGTTTAACAGGGATGATGACGACCAACTGGACTAATTGCATTTTTTTCTCTCTGGAGGTTCCACCTGAGACCTATTAGGGGAAGTTAGCAGGAACCAGAAGTGGAAAGATAAGAAGGGAGGCGTAGGGGGACTCGGGAGCTGACAGTGGGCAGGGCTCAGTGGACTCCTGCTGCTGAGGTGAGGGATGGGAGGGCTTTGAGCCCTCATCAATCCTCTGGTTTCTACCCCGGAAAGAGAGTTTCAGGATGCCCAGCCCAGGCCCTGGACGTCTGTCTCCTGCATTTCCATATGAACTCTCAGAAGAAGTCTCCTTTATGAGACAACCTCAGTGCATCCCTTATTTACCACCTGCAAGAGCTAATAAAGAACTCACGTGGCCTGGCTTAGAGATGAGGAAGTTGAGGCGAGGAGCTCATGGTTGCGCCCCAGGTTATAGAATCAGAACTCAAATCTGTGAAGGAATCCAGGCTCTTTATCTGGAAAGCCTGCTCTTAGAGGGTGAGGTCTGAGGACTGGAATATTGCGGAGAGTTGAGGGTTGGGGTGTGGGTGAGGGGAGTTGGTTTCCAGTTAAGAGTGAAGAGCAGGAGAAGAGATGCTGGGTTCAGTGGTTCAGACCTTGTGTCACATCGTTACGATTAGAAAGCAGTTTGTGAACAGTAAGAGCTGAGTTCTAAATTGCCTTGAGCCATGCCCTTTCAGTGGCTGCTCCTCAGGAGGTCTCTGGGAGCAGACGCAGCAGTCCTGCTGCTCTAGTCCACCTCGCTGACTTCACCCACATTCCCTTGGCCGTGCCCACAGGGCAGGTGCTTTAGAAATCAGTAGAAATCTCCTCCCAAATGCAGACCTACTTGCCTGTCCTGTGTTCTCAAGACAGCTCCAGGCTGGTTTGAAGCTAATGTCTAAACTCCAGTGGAGACCTTCTTGCCCTCACTTTTAACGGGAAGAGAGCTCACAGGAGCTTTCTTTATCCCGTGAGAAATGCTGGCAGGAAAGGTCAGATTTGAAGAGGCTGTGGACCTAGGGAAAGAATGCTCAGGGCCAAACTTTGTTCTGGATAGAATAATTCTTCCCCCCTCGGCCCCTTTTTTGGCCATGCTACATGGCTTGCAGCATCTTAGCTCCATAACCAGGAATTGAACCCACATCCTCAGCAGGGAAAATGTGGAGTCCTAACCGCTGGACAATCAGAGAATTCCCAAGGATGGACTAATTCTTAAAACAAGGTTTTGCAGCTCATACTTTGCCTCCTCACAGGCCCATGGATACAGTACGGATTGCAGTTGTGGGGGCTGGCGTGATGGGGCTTTCTACTGCTGTGTGCATTTCCAACATGGTCCCAGGATGCTCCATTACAGTCATTTCAGACAAATTCACTCCTGAGACCACGAGTGATGTGGCAGCTGGAATGCTTATTCCTCCTACTTATCCAGGTGAGAGAGGGATTTTTGCTCCTCTGTCAGATATGATAGATGTGAGATAGAATGGTGTTGATGTTGGTGGACTGCCGTTGACAAAGACAGCTGGATGTGTGTGTAAATGTAATGTGTGCCTTTGACATCTTGTTGGTTCATCTGTTAGGAAAGATTCAGTTATGTTGCAGGACAGAAAGAACCTCCAAATCTTAGCAGCTTAAAAAGCAAAGGTTTATTTTTCACTCATACTATATGTGGATTGGATATCAGCAAGGGTTTTGTTCAGCACCCAGGGGCCTAAGTTGATGAAGCAGCCACAGTCTTAAATATGGTTAATGCCTGTAGCTGGGTGGATGAGAGCTCTGGGGCACCTGCCTTAGCAATTAAGGCTCTGATCAGGAAGCAACATTCATCACTTATGATGACAGCTCATTGGCCAGTGCTAGTCACATGCTTCCACTCTTCAGAAAGAAGCTAGGAAGTACAATTCTACAAGGCTCCTAGAAGGCAGACAGACAGAAGTATTTAATGAAGAGCACTAATGGCTACCACAGTTGGTAACTCTTAATCTTTCCACAGTAATGACCATCAAGTCAGAAAATACTTTAATGGGACTATCATTATCCTCAATTCTAAGCCAGTATAACAAAAATTGGCTGATGTGTATTCAAGACTAAAAATGCATTAATTTTTAAAAACATGTCCATGCATCTTTTCCATTTTGTATTCTTTGTAAGAAATGGGAAGAGGAGGAAACAGAATTTAATAGGAAACAAAATCACTTTGCAACTAATGAAGTTTATACCCACTGTCTCCATTTCCTCATTTCCACTCTCTTTTCTCCCCTTTAATTTTAGTTTTTGTTTTTGCATCAAAGTTATACAAGAACATATTCTAAGTAGTCAAATGGTTATAAATTATTACCACCACTGTCCCCCCAACTGCCCCAGCAGTCTGGACTATGAATTGCCATGTCCATTTAATCCAGAAACTCGTGTCTCCAGTTCAAGGTACAATCTCTGAGTTACCTCCCTCCTGCTGTCTCTGCCTTTCTCTGGAATTGCTGTTATGCTGGGCCCTCCTGGTTAGATCCTCCCATACTCTTAGCTTTTTTTCCTCTTCCCATTTCTCTTTCTCTTTTTATTTACTTTCTGGGAGATTTTTCTCAATTTTTTCTTTTCCCGTGCTGTTGGATTTATTATTTCTCCTATTGCCTTTTAATATTCCAAAGCTCTTTTTTAGTCTCTAAATTTCCCTGTGTTCTAACATACTGTTTATGTTGTATGCTTGCCATCTTATCTTTCTGAAGACACTAGTAATGGTTTCAAATGTTTCTTCTCCCTGCACAGTTTCTGTGGTCTCCAAGTTGTGTTTTTTACTTGATGAACTCATTTTTCATATTACAGGTTTTCCTTGGCTTTGTGGTCATCTTTACCTGTCTGTTGACATTTAGGAGCAGGGTCCTGACAGGAGTTTCTGAGCCTTGTGTAGCGCTTGTTATCTTGAGACTCATTGCATTGAGTTGGGGGAGCTGTTTGGTTGGGGAACCTGTGATGTCATTGTATTTAGTCTTTATTCTTGGGTAGGTCATGTTCTCTAGAGAAGAGGCTTTCTGTCCCCTCGCTGGGGTGGGTGAAGGCCTGGCTGGCAGCATTCTAGAAGGAAGAGGAGAAGTGGCCTGGGGTCTTAGCATCCAGTTTGCATGTGTTCCCTTAACATGCTTGGTTTTACTATGGTATCCCGACCTTTGACTGTGCTTGGGGTGTCCTACCACCAAGATCCCCCTGTTTCACCTAACAGAATAAACCCATCTTCGGCCAGGGTAGGAATGGCTGTGGCCTCAGCACTGCCGTCCAGGAACTTGGCTTTGTCAGCAGCAGGGGCTGGTGCACCTCCTCGGAGCTGCCTGGCAGGAAACGAGCATAGGAGCCTGGTGTGTGTACAGAATGCTAGTTCACTCTGGACGCCTTTCTTGTGACCAGAGTCCTGGTGTCCATTTTCCAGGCATTTCCTTGCTGCGTCAGGCCCAGGTGAGTGGTGAGAAGGCTGCCCAATAATCATGGAATCATCTTCAAAGAAGGAGGCTCACTTGGGAGTTCATTCAGTCCTGGAGGCCCAGCTTGCCCTTTGACTGGGTGGTCAGGGCCCCTGGATCAGGGTCTTTCTCTCTAGTGCTGCCGATAGACTTTGTTTTTCTCCCTGAGCTTCTTTTGGACTAGCCCCAGTGATGTCAATACCATATGGGGTCCATCCTGTTCCATAGGGTTTTTTTATAAAGATTAAATGAGTTAATACTTGTAAAGCATTTTAGAACAGTGCTGGGACACAGTAAGTGCTACGTTAACATTTTCTTTTTTAAAATTAATTTATTTATTTTAATTGGAGGCTAGTTACTTTACAATATTGTGGTGGTTTTTGCCATACATTGACATGAATCAGTCGTGGGGGCACATGTGTCCCCCTCATCCTCAACCCACCTCCCTCTTCCCTTCCCCCACTTCCCTCCCCCTCCCCACCCCACCCCTCTGGTTGTCCCAGACCACCGGCTTTGAGTGCCCTGCTTCAGGCATCCGAGTTTGCACTGGTCATCTATTTTACATATGGTGATACATGTCTCAATGCTGTTCTCTCAAATCATCCCACCCTTGCCTTCTCCCACAGAGTCCAAAATTCTGTTCTTTACATCTGTGTCTCTTTTGCTGTCTTGCATATAGGGTCATCATTACCATCTTTCCAAATTCCATACATATGCATTAATATACTGTATCAGTGATTTTCTTTCTGACTTACTTCACTCTGTATAATAGGCTCCAATTTCATTCACCTCATTAGAACTGACTCAAATGCATTCTTCTTAATAGCTGAGTAATATTCCATTGTGTATATCTACCACAACTTTCTTATCCATTCATTTGCCGAGGGATATCTAGGTTGCTTCCATGTCCTAGCTATTGTAAACAGTGCTGCGATGAACATTGGGGTACACGTGTCTCTTTCAATTCTGGTTTCCTCAGTGTGTATGCCCAGCAGTGGGATTGCTGGGTCATATGGCAGTTCTATTTCCAGTTTTTTAAGGAAACTCCATGCTGTTCTCCATAGTGGCTGCACTAGTTTGCATTCCCACCAACAGTGTAAGAGGGTTCCCTTTTCTCCACACCCTCTCCAGCATTTATTGTCTGTAGACTTTTTGATGGCAGCCATTCTGTATGTTGACATTTTCTACTGTTACTACTGCTAGTCTGGCTACAGTTTTCTTTTACCAGCACTTGAACATCAATTAGGTCACCAGATTTGCTTCACTCACTGTTGAACTGGGATTGTCTGTTTTTTGAGATGACTTTTGCAGTGTGTGAGTAGCAGTCACTATTTTGTGTCTTCAAGTTTGGAGTGGGAAAGGAGGGTACATTTCTATATATCCTCAGGCACTGGCTTAGATTGTTGGGGTGTAATCCATATGAGGTCTAATCAGTTCTTTGTGGCTTATTTTTTTTATTTCCTCCTTATTTCTGAACCAGTTGATCCAGTCTGCAGTTTTGAGAATGCATTCACATGGGCACTTGTTTAAAGACAATAGCAGAGATCCACTAGTAAAGAAACATTTTCTGGCTCCTGAACAAGTGAATTGCTTTAAAGCCTACTAAGGAAATGCCCCCATTCACTTGGAAGCAGGGTGCCTCCAGGGGCTTTTCATCTCTACTTCCAGTGAGCTCTAGGGACGTCTTTTCAAGCAAAGCTGACCCGGGATCCTCTTTGCTCTGCTGCCCCTGTCTGCTCTGTGGCTCCCCCACATTTCAGCCCCTCGGGATTACTGTTCCTCAGTCCCTGCATCCTGGACTCTGACCCTGTCCTGACCCTGGACTCTCTTTCATGACCCTCCCTCAGGGATCAGATGGCCAAATACTCCATCCATAGATTTGTCTACGCTTCTGGGTCAGGCTTGCTCTCTGTGCCTACACTGGGCACTCTTCTTTGGGGGCTTGAACCCTGATCCTGGTTTCCTCCCTGGCAGGCCTGGAATCCTTCTGGAAGCTGTGTCCAGGTCCAATCCCTTGTTCAGTGGCAAGGATGCCTGGGGGGTAGGGGACACTGGTCCACAGGGCTCTGACAGAGAGGGGGTTCCTGGCGTGGTCCCTGGACACCCCTGGTGACCCCAGGAATGCTGCTCCAAGCTGGTCTGTGATTCCATGGATGGAGGGGGATGGAGGTAAAGGCAGCCTTGGATGGGGCTGTAGGGAGTCAGTTTCACAATGCAGGCCTCCTGTCCTGTATCAGGAGGGTGAGCAGCCTGTGTTTCCCACTCATATGCAGTCTGTTCTTCGACCTGGTTGATCTGGGCCCCAAAGATCTCCCCTTGTCTCCTTCTGTGTTTTCAGCTTCTAGGAAAGAGACCCTGGGTTATTTCTCTCATCATCTCAACTGTGTAGCCAGCTGCTTGCCTCAGCCATATCAGCTAACTTGGCTCAGGTTGGTTGTGGACATTTCTAGGGTCTCTGGAATACACTGAGTGCCAAAGACCCCTTTGCACGTGGCCTGTGTATTAGATTTTGCCATCATTGGTTGATTTCACCTCTGTTGATTTGTGATCATATGAACTGACTCTGATAGAGCATGTCAACATTCAAAACTTCAGTCATCATACACCATGATGTGGTACTTTGTCTAAATGTTTCTCCCTGCCTTTTTAGTTTTTGCCAGTTTGTAGGAATAAGCTTCTCTGAAGCACAGTCATTGTCATAATTTCCCTTTTTCTGCTGCTTTGCTTTTCTCCACCATCGCAGACACACCCATTCAGAAGCAGAAGCAGTGGTTCAAAGACACCTTTGATCACCTGTTTGCAATAGTCAATTCTGCAGAAGCTGAAGATGCTGGTGTTATTATGGTGTCTGGGTAAGAGAGGAAATCTGAAATTATTTTAGAATTTAGAATGATCTTAACATACTTTAGAGTTTAACAGAAGATATTACTGAGTACCTGCTATGAGCATGGGGTAAATATCTGAGACATAGAGGTAGACTTATCTGACAGGGAGTAGGCAACATGGGTCTGGATCTGGTTTTGGAGTTCAGGGGAGAGAAGAGAGCTGGAGATGTAGCCTTCTGCATGTTTGGCCTGTAGATGAAAAGAGGGAAGTGGGTGATCTAGTCCAGGAGAGTGTGCAGAATGAGACAGAAAGAAAGCCTGGTATTTAGACCCGCAGCAAACAATCTTTCCATCTTCCACAGGACCTGTGTTGAATGAATCACTTAGAGATATAAATTCCAGTACCTTAATGAGCACACCATTAGCAACCATGTACAGCACTCAAATGATTTTCCTTGCTATTTTAGAGCAGCCATGCTTTATAAGTTTATTCCTATTGATGTAAAGAACCCAATACTTATAAATCCAAAGATATGCCTAGCAGCTATTGGTAGCATGATTACAGGCTTCTTATTAACAGCTGATATCATTCCAGCCTCATCAGCCCCAACCATGACTTAAAGATACAGGGTATGACCCAGCAATCCCACTGCTGGGCATTCACACAGAGAAAACCAGAATTTTTTTTTAAACTTTTTTTTTTCATTTATTTTTATTAGTTGGAGGCTAATTACTTTACAATATTGTAGTGGTTTTTGCCATACATTGACATGAATCAGCCATGGATTTACATGTGTTCCCCATCCTGAACCCCCCTCCCACCTCCCTCCCCATCCCATCCCTCTGGGTCTTCCTAGTGCACCAGCCCTGAGCACTCATGCATCCAACCTGGGCTGGTGGTCTGTTTCACCCTTGATAATATGCATGTTTCAATGCTATTCTCTCAGATCATCCCACCCTCGCCTTCTCCCACTGAGTCCCAAAGTCTGTTCTGTACATCTGTGTCTCTTTTTCTGTAGAAAACCAGAATTGAAAGAGACACATATACCCCAGTGTTCATTGCAGCATTGTTTACAATAGCTAGGACATGGAAACAACCTAGATGTCCATCCGCAGACGAATGGATAAGAAAGAAAAATGGAATATTACTCAGCTATTAAAAAGAATGCATTTTAATCAGTTCTAATGAGGTGGATGAAACTGGAGTCTATTATACAGAATGAAGTAAGTCAGAAAGAAAATTACCAATGCAGTATATTAACGCATATGTATGGAATTAAGAAAGATGGTAAGGATGACCCTACACATGAGACAATAAAGCACAGATATAAAGAACAGACTTTTGGATTCTGTGGGAGAGGGCGAGGGTGGGATGATTTGAGAGAATAGCATTGAAAATGTATATTACCATATGTGAAATAGATGACCAGTCCAAGTTCGATGCACGAAACAGGGTGTTCAAAGCTAATGCACTGGGACAACCCAGAGGGATGGGATGGGGAGGGAGGTGGGATGGGGCTCAGGATGGGGGACACATGTACACCTGTGGATGACTCATGTCAATGTATGGCAAAAACCACCACAATATTGTAAAGTAATTAGCCTCCATTAAAAAAAAAAAAGGATACAGGGCTTCACCTGACAAATCCTGGCCTCTCTTATCAAGGACTTAATGTGACCATCTACAACTTCACTCATAATTCACACCCCTATCTCCTGCACTCCCCCCCATTGCTTATTCTAACTGATATATTTTGTTTGAAATTGAGGCCGACATTTAAACTTTTGATTATTTGATGATTTGTTTATAGTTTATGTTTATGTTTACATTTATGTTTGCATTATGCAAAACAGAAAAATCTTTCCCCCCAGATGCATCATCATAAGGAAAGAAAGAAAATCTGGGCAAGAGCTTTTTAGAAAAAGAAAGTTAAATTCAATCTTTAAAAGACACACAGCTTTTTAAATGTCGTATTCCAATGCCTGCCCTCCCCCTCCCCTGAACATTTTAAATTTAGCTACTGAATTATGTGAACCTAAGTGAACAGAAGAATAGATTTTTTTTTTTTTCTCTGTATGGGCATAAGAAGTGTGTTTTTAAAATGCTTTAGAGAATGTCACATGGATTTTACTAGAAATCTCATAAAACTTCAGGAAGTTTTTCCACTTAATGTGTTTGAGTTGGCAGATATTTCGGAGTATTCCTACTGAAGAAGTGCCATACTGGGCTGACGTGGTGCTAGGATTTCGAAAGATGACCAAGGATGAGCTGAAGAAATTCCCCCAACATGTGTTTGGTCATGCTTTTACCACACTCAAATGTGAAGGCCCTGCCTACCTCCCGTGGCTGCAGAAAAGGTTGGTCGATGTGCACTTTATTGCTTCCTTTGTCTGCCCTACCCATAAATACCTTCATACCTTCTCATAACACAGAGACTGAAAATTCTCTGCTGTCCCTCAGAGCTTCTGTGCACCGTTCCTTGTTGTGCATTAACGGCTAGGGCTTAGTAAACAGTCTGTGAGACACTATGTCACAAGCAGTGAGTCACACCCAAGTTAGTAACACGTCCATTTTCTGCTTCCCTGGGCACCCTGACGCAGGGGTTGGTCCCTCTCCCCCCGCCACTAAGACACCCTCACTGGAACAGTTGCTAGGATTTCGAAAGATGACCAAGGATGAGCTGAAGAAATTCCCCCAACATGTGTTTGGTCATGCTTTTACCACACTCAAATGTGAAGGCCCTGCCTACCTCCCGTGGCTGCAGAAAAGGTTGGTCGATGTGCACTTTACTGCTTCCTTTGTCTGCCCTACCCATAAATACCTTCATACCTTCTCATAACACAGAGACTGAAAATTCTCTGCTGTCCCTCAGAGCTTCTGTGCACCGTTCCTTGTTGTGCATTAACGGCTAGGGCTTAGTAAACAGTCTGTGAGACACTATGTCACAAGCAGTGAGTCACACCCAAGTTAGTAACACGTCCATTTTCTGCTTCCCTGGGCACCCTGACGCAGGGGTTGGTCCCTCTCCCCCCGCCACTAAGACACCCTCACTGGAACAGAATCTTAGTTTCCTCATCTATAAAATGAGATGTTTGGAGAGTATGCTTCCAGCTATAAAATGATAGGATTTACTCTCGCTCTTTAGAGACTCGGAGGCTTATTATACATTATTTTTGAATTATTTTTCTCATTAATGAAAAAGACAATAACTCCATTATTTTATTTTGTTATCAACAAGGACTTTAAAACTGAGGGCTTATCTAAATTAGGTAATTACTTCCTTACCAAGTTCAGCCCAAATTCCAAGAACCTGTATTTTGTCTTGGTTTTCAGGACTTCCTGTTCCAGTAGGTTAGGAAACACATCAAGGGTGTCATTATTTAAGACACATTAATAAATCTCTTTTGTTTCATCTGGAAATTGCAAGCATGTTGACAGTTGTGAAACTTTGGCCTTTTTAGTGCCTGAAACTGTATATTTGGTAGATGCATAGGAATAATGCAAATTGTTGTATAAAAGTTGGAAAAGTGACTTGAGGTAAGCGGTGGCAACAATGACTTAGTCCCTGATATAGGATATAGGATAATTAAATGGAATAATTAGTTCCACAATTCTTTGTTGAGCTTCTGTGTATACCTAGCACTGGACTAGAAGCTAGTCAGTTCTACTGAGGGTGATGGTGTATGTGTGTGTATGTGTATTGATATACATGTTAATTAACAATTACAGTAACATGTATGATGAGTGTTAAATACAAATTTATGAGGGTGGATTGGGAGCACAGAGGAGGGATCCTAAGTCTGTTAGGCACATGTTGGGAACATCATGATATATTTTTGTAGCTTTGTAAGTGCTCGTCTCATTTTTACCTCTTAGCAATTTACATGGGACTTTATTTTTTTTTTTAAGTTCCAGTTTCATAAAACCTACACTTTTGTGCCTTGTTTGCTGGCCCATAAACCTCTGTTTATATGTGAAATTTAAACCACTGTATATCAGCTGATAAATGAATATTTGAGCCATCATGTGATGGAGTTACCCATTAGCCAACATGCCAGTTTTCAGGGCATCACCATCTTTTCTGAGTGGCAAGGTTATATAGTGTTGCACTTTTGTCTTTATAGGAATGCCTAGAAAAGGAACATTGGAAGTGCCAATGCTATTGATACCTAGTTAAGGTATCATTTATCTTAATAAAATTAAGGGGAAATTATTAGGCAAGCCAGAAGTTACAGAGCTTTACTGTCAATATATGCATATTTATTTTGGGCCACCCTCAACTAGTTGCACATGAGAACGTATATTACCTGAGCAGTTTGTTCTGCCTGCTTCTGAAGTATCACCTTCTAGAAAACTGACCCCTTATTTCCATTATAGCCTGAAGGCCTGGGGAAAATCCTGATACCCTCTTGTTAGTTGGAAGCCTGCTGTCAGCATTTTGCTTTACTTAAAATAAAAGTGGTACTTTGTGCCAGAGGGAGCCACCTCCTGACTGCAACACCCTCAGGCCTGGTGACCAGCCAGCTGGGGTTCGTGCTTTGGAGCACACTGCTTCCTGTCTGGTTTTAGGTGACAGAGTCAAGGAGAAGAGGCCCGAGGGGCTGCTCTTGCCTCAGAGAGTCCTGGGGAGTCCTCTTAAGGTCTATGTGTTTGATATGCACCTCGACCATGACAGTGGGTGGGAACATGAGTGCCTCAGGCAGACAGTACACACTGCAGGGAAGCCACGAGGAGACCCTTGTCCTGGCCGTCCACCCACCCCCACTTTGACTTAATTCCATGGCCTGTAATACCTCAGGCTTCCTCGTACCCCGCCCCCACCCCAGTGAGGGGGCATGCAGGGGCCTCCTCTCTGCACGATTAGCTGTCCCCCCTTCCCTCAGGCCCTGGCATCTGACCGGAAGGCCGGTGTAGAGGACGAGGAGGGTCATACCTGAGGAAGACTTTGTAGGGCTGGGACCCCTCTAAGCTCAAGGCAAGCCTCTCAGATCAAGGACCTCCAGCCAAGAGGGAGGCCGGGCCGTGTTGTGGTGAGGGCGTGGGATCCTGGGGCTTGCTCTGGGGGCTGCCACCCGCTCTCCACCATGGGGATGACCCAGCTGGGGAGCCACACAATCCCTGCTTGTTCCTCACACCCAGGGTCTGTTCTGTTGCCTCCTACACCCCTGCCACACAACGCGAGTGTTCAGCCTAAAGCATTCTGACTCAAAAATGGGCATTTCACTCAGCAAGCCACACAACAGTGCCTTCAATCTAAGCTCTAGCCTTCTGAAACAATATTAATTTCTAGGAAAGAAAAAATTGTTCGTAACCACAAATTAGATCTTTAGTGTTTTTCAAAGAACAGAAGAAATCGTCTCCTCAAAAACAAAAGAAGTATACCCGGTAATACCCAGAACAAAAAAACAAACAAAACCCCCTGAAGGTTAATCAGTCATGCAGATCATGTTTTATATCGTTGGCCAGTGGAGTCATATTCTGCTGCTTTGTACTTGCCCTTCCAGGAAATGAATCATAGAGGCAGTGCGTCAACTGAACCTGTCTCTTCTCCAGGCATCCTACTTAAATAAATCATCCCAGCTGGAGCAGGATGGTCCTGTCTTGGGCGGCATTCAGAAAGTGGGTGCCCCACTTCAGTGCTGGGGGCCCTGTAATTCTGGTGCATTGCCTTCTTTCCAGGGGGCTGTGTCTTAATTCCATGGCCCGGCGCTGAGCTCAGCATTAACTACACTGAGCTGCTTCCTTCTCTCTCCTCTCTGGCGTCTTCTCTCTTACTTTCCAGTCCTGCGTCTCCTACAGCTTCTGTTCTCCTGCCTGGCCTGACTGACAGCATAGCCCACACCACTCCCTCGGCAGATGGACAGAAACGTGAGTTGTGCGTCAGGCAGGAGACAGGTCGTCTCTGCCTTACAAATGTCCAACTTGCAGAGGTCCCTTCCTGTGCACACTGGACACCTGCTTCCCCACATCTAACAAACCCTGTGCCCGGTAGAGCGCAGTCTTCCTTTTCCAGGGCCCTAGAGAATTCCTGCTTCTCCCAGCATTGGCTGCTGGCCCCTAAACCAGACAAGCCATGGGCAAAAATTGGCCTCAGATACAGGTCTAATGTGAGCACGTTTCACCCCTCCCCCCTCCACCAGGCTCTCTCCCTGGTTATGCAAAGATGAGGCGGGAGGGCACCGGCCAGGAAAGTGGGAAATGATGGTGTGTATTTTTTCTTATGATGGCAACAAGGTTAATAGGGAAGAGGTGTGCTGCACTGGCCTTGGGGGCTTCCACTGGCCTCCAATCGCTGCCCTGAGACAGTTGCAGGAGGAAACCCCCCCTGCTGGACTGACTAAGGGTGAGGGTGCAGGGATGCTCCCCTCCAGACCACTCTGCCCACAGAAGCCTCGTCTCCCCCCCAAAGGGACCAGAAGCTGCTCTGTGCCCGAACAGGGCTTAGGTCAATTAAAACAGACAAGTTCGTGGCATGCACAAGGTAGAGATTGGTCTTCTGAGAAATGGGAGATAGAATTTATTTCCCACTTATTGCAGTTTATTTTATTAGAATATGCATTGCAACAGAATGAGTGAGCAGTAGGGATGGTCATTGGATGAGGTTAAAACTTTCAGGTTAAAATTAGAGTATATATGGAGAGAGAGTTATATGCTATATATTTAATTGCTTTGTAAACCTAAAATGCATTTAAAAAATTCTAACTGTGATAAGTTATTTTAAATATATTAAATATATTTATAATATATTAAATACAAATAATATATTTATATTCCTGACACCAGAATATATATATATTATGTATCATATCATATATATAGTGTATAATATATATTATATATTATAAACATAATATGTAATGTATATTATAAATATATTAATAGCTACATTGCATTTCTAAGAACAAACAGTGGATTTTCCCCGTGAATCTATATGCATAGCATTATTTGGCAACTGAGATTTTCCATTAGTTTTTTTTCTCCCCGTCTTCATACAAATGGACTGAAATAGTTAATTGTCTGATTGCTGTTAATAAAGTATCCTGTTTCAGGCTTGAAGCAAGGATGCCAGTGTGGTACCACTCTCAATCTGTTAGGATTCTTCAAAGAAGCAGAACCAATAGACTATATATATATATATATATATACACATATATATATGTATATAAAGAGATTTATTATAAGGAATTGGTTCATACAGTTATGGAGGCTGACAAATCCTAAGATCTACAGGGTGAGTTGGCAAGCTGGAGACCCAGGAGAGCCAATGCCGTGTGGTTCCAGTCTGAAGGTTGGCAAACACCGGACCCAGGAAAAGCCAATGTTTTAGCCTGAGTCTGAAGACAGGAAAAAGCTGGCATTCCAGCCTGAATGCAGTCCAGCAGAAGAAAGGTCAGCCTTTTCGTTCTGTTCAAGCCTTTCACCGGTTGGTTGAAACCCACGTGAAGGAGGGCAATCTACTCTACTCGGCCTACCAATGTAAATGTTAATTATATCTAAAATATAATCATAGAAACACCCAAAAGAATGTTTGGCTAACTATCTGGGTACCTCCATAGTGCAGGCAAGCCAAACTATAGCATTAATCGCCATATACCCAAACCAGGATTTCATACTGTCTTCAGTATCACCCAACATTTGTGTCAAGTTCACTAGATATTGGGTACTGAGCTGGGTCATAGGTGTAGTGAGAAGCGTAAGACATTGTCTTCCTCTTGAGAAATTTTTAGTTTATTGGTGTGGGTCTCCTAGAATTTGTCGTGTTTATATCTTGTGAAGCATGTGCGTGCTCGGTTGCTCAGTCGTGTCTGACTCTCTGTGACCCCATGCATTGTAGCCCACCTGGCTCTTTTGTCCATGGGATTCTCTAGGCAAGAATACCGGAGCCAACTGCCATTTCCTTCTCCAGGGGATCTTCCCAACCCAGGGGTCAAACCTGAGTCTCTTGTGTTCCCTGCATCAGCAGGCAAAGCTGATTCTTTACCAGCTAAGCCACCAGGGAAAGCCCATTATTATATAATGTCATGCCCATTATTTCATCTGAACTTCACAACCATCTCTGAAGCAGGCAAGGGAGGTGTCACACCTATAACACAGATAAAGAAACTGAGGGTCAGAGAAGTGAGATGAGTTGGCCAAGACCTCAAAGCTAAGCTAATGTGAGGCAACTGGGACCTAACTCCCCTGGTCTGATTCTACATCACCTCTCATGTAGAACTTCATTCTGCCAAGCGCTTACACTTCTGTCTCCCAGCTCCTTCGTCAATCTTGAGGAAGGGCACTTTGCCTCTAAGCAGTACCTTGCACACAGGCATTCAGCCTGCATCTGTTGTACAGAGCTGCTGACAGTCTTCCTCTCATATTACATCTTCTATATTCTACAAGTGACTTATGAATAAGATTGTTATTGTTTCATAGGTACATAGTTTTAGTTTTGCAAGATGAAAAAAAGTTCCGAAGTTGGATGATGGTGGTGGTTGCACAACAACGTGAATGTATTAAACTTAACACCATTGAATTGTACACTTCAAAATGGTCAAAATGGTGAATTTTGTGTTATGTGTATTTTACTACTATTAAAAAAGATCATGGAACCTAGATAAACTATTTCTTTTCATTATTGACGACTTGGTCTGAAAAATCATTACCAACTACAGCTGTTACTTAGTCCATCAGTTGCAAATATCTTGTGTTCCTCTCATGCTGGGACCCCTGTGGGATATGTAAGTGGGGGATGGTGTACGTGAGCCTAACCATCTTGTTAGGGAGATGAGGGTATCACAAAGGAACATGCAAGAGTTAACAGTATGAGACAAAAATGTTGGAGGCAGTAAATCTAAGAGCTAAATAAGTGCCATAAACCAAAAGTGCTTGGGTTTTTTAAAAAATACATCAGGTTAACCTGATATTTATTTAGCATCTAGAATAATATTGGGCTTCCTAGATGGTGCAGTGGTAAGAACCTGCCTGCCAATGCAAGAAACACGAGTTGGATCCCTGGGTCAGGAAGATCCCCTAGAGTAGGAGACGGCAACCCACTTCTGTATTCCTGCCTGGAAAATTCCTTGGACAGAGGAGCCTGGCGGGCTACAGTCCATGGGGTCTCAGAGTAGAACATGAGTGAGTGCACACGAGCATGAGAATGATATAGGAACTCCATTAAACATAAAAAGGATGAAGCATCTAGTTTGCTTTGAGTTTCTGAAATAGGTTTTTATTTAGGTTCAACTTTAGGAATCTCTGGTTTGTAAGGATGTGAGGCACTCAGGTAGAATTTGACCTGCTCGGGCCCTGGAAGCGCTGGAAGTATTTGCTCATTGGACGGTCATCTCCGTTTTGTTTCTGAATTCCTGTCTGTCACTTCTGCTGAAGTTCTGTTGAGCAGGATGCTGGTAAGGCTCACCTCATGGTTTCTTGTTCTCCTTAGGGTAAAAGGAAGCCGGGGTCTGATACTCACCCAACGAATAGAAGACCTGTGGGAGCTTCACCCGTCCTTCGACATCGTGGTCAACTGTTCAGGCCTTGGAAGCAGGCAGCTTGCAGGAGACTCAAAGATTTTCCCAGTGAGGGGCCAAGTACTCAAAGTGCAGGCTCCCTGGGTGAAGCACTTTATCCGAGATAGCAGTGGGCTGACATATATTTACCCTGGTGTATCCAATGTAACCCTGGGTGGCACTAGGCAAAAAGGAGACTGGAATTTGTCCCCAGATGCAGAAATTAGCAAAGAGATTCTTTCCCGATGCTGTGCCCTCGAGCCTTCTCTCCGTGGAGCCTATGACCTAAGAGAGAAAGTGGGTTTGAGGCCCTCTAGGCCAGGCGTACGGCTGGAGAAAGAGCTATTAGCCCAGGGCAGCAGGAGGCTACCTGTGGTCCATCACTATGGCCATGGAAGTGGGGGCATCGCCATGCACTGGGGCACTGCTCTGGAGGCCACCAGGCTGGTGAATGAGTGTGTCCAAGTTCTTAGGACTCCTGCTCCCAAATCAAAGCTGTAGGTGACGCGAAATGATAGCAAATGGCCCCAGAATCTATTAATCAAAATGTAACTTAAGTACTAGGAGAGATTCAAGTAACTTTTCTGTTGAATGAAAGTTTAATTGGACTTGATTTTGTTTTCAAAATTAGAATTGATGCAATAGGTATCAGTAGACTTAAACCTACTACTGATCTAACTTAGTACTAGTTAGTACTAGCCCTAATGACATAATGCCCTAATGACATAGGGCATTAAGCTCTATTTTTGTTAAAAAAAAAATACTTGCTAGAAACATTTCTTTTAGATCTCAGATCCAAGGATCTATGCTAATTCACATGGATGCAAGAATTTTGATATATTATTTTGGCTTATAAATCCACAGGAGGAGATAATGTATGGAAAACACTTAACTCACTGTCAGTTGCAGAGCTGCCTGTGATGCTCATAGGTTGTAGTCAAGTGAACACTATAATCCTTTAAAATTACATGGCAATATACAATTCAGGCTCATTCCATTTAGTGGAAGACAAAGGATGATTCCTGCTAGTATTAATGGCAACCTCTACTTCCCCTCAGCTGGCAGATGGTAGAAGATAGAGATGATGTGTTGCTTACAGGTGTGGCATCAACTCAATTTCTGTCTGGGGTCAGCCACCTAAGGGGCGTACTTTCCATTACCACAAATGATTGAGAGGTGGCTCGTTGGCTGGTTGACTTTGCCTAAGCATTTTTGAAGATTGAATTTCATGTACGGCCAAAGAGCTAATTTGCTAATTAAGATGGAACAATCACTCTGAGTGAAATATAACCAAAGAGTTTTCTGCAAGTTGTTAAAAAGTACTGGGAAGGAGTGGGAGTATGTCTCATGACACAATGATTTTGGAATTACTGAATTAATAAATCTAGTCTGGATTCTTGGCTTGGTCTTTAATCTGTTCACGTGTGTTGTGAATACTCATGAGGGTTTTTGGCTGAGTGAATAATAAAGGAGATGCTATTCATTAAGATAAGGAAGCTTAGGAGAAATATATGAAATTTTTTTTTAGTGAGAATAGTCTGTTTTATTTGTTTTTTAATATTGGAGAATCTCTAAGTTTGACTATATCTAATTTAAATATAGGGCCTAAATAGTTGTATTAAGATGTAATGTGTATGGTGTTTATGCTATAGTTATTGTCAAAAAGGTGTATGAAAAGTGTATACATGAAGATCAAAAAAATATATGTAAGTCTAATTTTAATTTTGGGAGTATATTTCTCATGTTTAGTAACTAAGTTCTATTTTAGACATCTTGGGGGAAGTGTGGGGTTGGCAAACAGAATGGGAAAGAGCCTCCGGTACAGCTCCATTCTTGTTGTTTTGTTCATTGAACTTTTGTATGTGATTTTGTGTGTGGGGGAAAAAAAAAAAAACAACCTGTGCTGGAAGAGACAAAAATGGAGACAGAGAGCATGCACGCCGTGCTCTTGATCACGCTTGCAGTAAAGAAATTCCCAAGTTAAATCAAAAGTGGATTCTTTTCCTTGCATTTCCATCAGGGGGCGTTGTTGTATCAAGTTCAGATAATACTGCTACATTTGAAAATTTAGAAATGGTTAGAAATAAAAATTGGATATGGAGGTGTGTGGCGTATGTGGGTGATTCTTCTGAGGTTTTAGAGTTTATATGCCCAAACTTCAATTTTTTAAAATTTTGTTTAGAGTATTTGAGAAATGTACAAGCTCAGATAGACTGAAAATACACACATAGACACACACCCATCCATACACACATGCACTCACTACACATGATCTGTGAGAAATAATATGTTATGATAAAATGGCATTTTGAAGAGGGCATTTAACAATTTTTTAGTGGTTAAAAATAAAAATGATGGGGCTTCTCTGGTGGGACAGTGACTAAGACTCCATGCTCCCAATGCAGGGGGCTCAGGTTTGATCCCTGGTCAGGGAACTAGATCCTACATGCTGCAACTAAGAGTTCCCATGCCACAACCAAGAACTGATGCAGCCAAATAAATAAATAAATTGAAATATTCTTTAAAAATGAAAATGCTCGGAACAGTTGGATTTGCTCATTTTTATAGCAGTCAAGTGTACTCAGTTGTTCCTTAAGCCCACAGTTTAGATCCTGCAGCATTTTCATTTCCTGTAGGTAGGTTCATACTCTATGACTATTGCCTATTTGCAACAGTCTAAACAATTACTCTAATTTAACTCTTCATTTTATATTCCTAAAGCCTAACATTATAAGACTGAAAAATTAGAGGCTTCTGGAGACAGTGGTCATGGCTACATGCCCTGATTTCATTTTTACTGACTGTTAAATATGTGATTCTTCTCTTAAATGTTTGTTTATTTTGATCAGTTGCCGGGTTGCATGTTATAGTCACCTGGGATGTTTTGAAAAACTAATGATTCAAGCCCTTCTCTAATAAATTAGCATCGTTGGGGTTGGGTGGAGCCCTGGCAACAGAATTTACTCGTAACCCACAGAGTTCTGTCCAATAGCTGGGACTGAGGGTTATGAGCCCTGCTTCATTCCTCTCCTCACTGGGCTTTGGCACTACTGAAACCACTCTTCTCTCCTTTCTTCCTCGGCACCTTGGGGCACTGAGCTAAGAGTGATGTGCTCACATAAGCAGGTGTGTCCTTAGACACTCCTGGGCAAGGTAATAGGAATTATCTGTTTCCGAAAGTGGCTCTCTAGAAATTCTGGGAACCACCTTGCTCGCTGTAGCTCAGCTGCTCAGAGACAGCCATCTGTCTGAATGAGAGACTGAGTATACAAATGAACAATGGCCAGACTATATATAAAGGCACTCTGATCCTGCAGTAGCTGGCCCAGGAAGCCACCCTCTTCTTTATAATCGCCAGCAAGGGAGCCAGTCTGCTACAGGTCAGATTTGTAAGATGCTAAATTGCTGTCTCTAGTAATGATCCAGAAAGCTTAACAATCATTATCGGAACAATTGGCCCCAAATGGTCAGTACTTGGATAATAACTGACAGTTTCCCTAAAATTTGTCCTGTTTCCAACTTAAGACCAACCAGAGAAAGTCAAATACACCTCTATCCAATCACGCAGGATGCCCCACTTTTTTGGAGAAAGGCATATGTTTAAACCCTTTTTACTTTATATTGGGGAATAGCCAATTAACAATGTTGATAGTTCCAGGCGAACAAGGAAGGGATTCAGCCATACATATACATATATCCATTCGCCCCCAAACTCCCCTCCCATCCAGGCTGCCACTTAATATTGAGCAGCATTCCATGTGTTATACAGTAGGTCCTTGTTGGTTATCCATTTTAAATATGGTAGTGTGTACGTGTCTATTCCAAACTCCCCAACTATCCCTCCCCCGTATTCTTCCCCATAGCAACCATAAGTTCTTCTCTAAGCTTGTGAGTCTCTTTCTGCTTTGCGAGTAAGTTCATTTGTATCATTTCTTTTTAGATCCCACAGGTAAGGGATGTCATATGGTATTTCTCCTCTGTCTGACTTACTTCACTCAGTATGACACTCTCTATCTAGGTCCATCTGTGTTGCTATCAATGGCATTATTTCATTCTTTCTAATGCTTTTATTTTTTTCCTTGCTGTGCAGGGTTTTCTCTAGTTGCAGTGAGCAGGAGCATCATAATGCTGGAGTTTCGGTGCACAGGCTCCTCCCTGTGCTGACTTCTCTTGTGTAGTATGGGCTCCAGGTCAGCGGTTGCAAGCTCAGTAGTTGCGATTCCAGGGCTCTAGAGCACAGGCTCAGAAGTTGTGGTGCCTGGGGTTATCTGCCCTGTGGAATGTCAGATCTTCCTGGATCAGAGATCAAACCCATTTCTCCTGCATTGGCAGGTGAATTTTTTACTACTGAGTCACCAGGCAGGACCTGAGGATGCCCCACTTCTTAATAGCCTGCCAACAGCTTCCCCACGCCCAGAGCCTCCGTTCAGGCCATACCTGGAGTCCTCTCTTTGGTCACTAAAAGGCTTTCCCACACTTCTGCCTTCCTTGGAGAGACGGTGACTGACTCCCTTGCTATAGCAAGCTCTGAATAAATAGTCATCGTTTTTCTCTTTTGGCTGGCCTTTATTTATTGCTTGTTTCCACAAAGATTTCCTGTTTTGTAAGTTGAAGTCTTAGATCACTATGCTAAGGCCAAGAATGGGCCCCCATTTTCTATTACAGTCCATTTAAAACTTTTTCTGAACATAGAGAACAACAGATTTCCCTCTCAAATTCCTTTCTTTAAGTGTCTGACATTTGCAGCTGAGCCAGGACCTGCTGTGCCTGTGACCCCGAGGGATATAGCAGCTTTGAGGGCACTAGCATGCAGGTACGATGCTTCTTCAGCAGACAGAGGTTATGTACAGACTTTGAGGATTTTATTTGCTTTGAAAGAAAGGAAGGTAAACATAAAGGCCATAGTCCAATAGGACATGGTTATACAGAAGAAAGGCTATTTTAAAAAACGATATAGGTTGTTCCTTTTATTGAATGTTAAAGTGTGAGTCACTCAGTCGTGTCGACTCTTTGGGACTGCAGGGACTGGGGCCCACTAGGCTCCTCTGTCCTTGGAATTCTCCAGGCAAGAATACTGGAATGGGTTGCCATTTTCTCCTCCAGGGGATCTTCCTGACCCAGAGATTGAACTCGCGTTTCCTGCACTGCAGGCAGATTGTTTAGCATCTGAGCCACCTGGGAAAGGGAAAGTGAAGTCGCTCAGTTGTGTCCAACTCTTTGAGACCCCATGGACTGTAGCCTACCAGGCTCCTCCGTCCATGGGATTTTCCAGGCAAGAGTACTGGAGTACTCTTGCCATTTCCTTCTTGAGCCACCAGGGAAGCCACAAATAAACACACCCTCTTGGCCTGGAGATGCCAGGGATTGAACCTGGGGCCTCATGTGCTCTATCACTGAGCTACATCCCTGTTTATGCATTCAAACAAACTGATAGTCGAACCATTTTTTTCTCAATCCATTCAGAGTTTTTAGCGAAAAGGAAGAGAATGATCGTGGGACCTGTGTCCTCTGGGAGTTGTAGTTCTGGGAAACCTGTTTCAGGAGCCTCATAAGTTGTCAGATAGTTGAAATGAATGTAGCAACGCTTACACTATTTTTCTTGATTCCTCTCATCTTTCTTCTTGAGGATGTAAATGATGGAGACAAATTTGAAACCTGTTTCCTCTGGGTATCATTCACTTATGAAAACCCAGTGGAGATGTTTGAGTGGTCTCTTTCTTCCTGAAAAATCTCTGCAGTTTGCCACCAGGCCTGGGGGCTTTATTATCCTGAGTGACTTTGCCATCTACAAATCACCGCCCTAAGTAGCTAAAGGGAATGAGTTAACCAGAGCTCTGAAAAAATGTAACCAGTGTTTCTTCAATATTAGCAGAACAACTGACTTCTGCCTGGGCAGGGCACCTGAAGACCTGGCTTGCAGTCATGTTACCCACAATTCCATGGCTCAGAGCCTAAATTTCCCTTGAATTACAGTTTTTACTCTGATGTTGTCACAACACAGACACCAATCTGATACCAATCAGTCTACCCTAAAACTTCTCATGCATCCTAGTATTCTCTCCCATACAAAGCCAAGTGGTCTGACAATGGAACTAAGCTAATGGAATATTGTGATGAATATTCTAAATGGTTTGCCTGCTCTACCCAGGTCCCTTTTTCTGGGAAATCTGCTCAAACCTGAGAGTTCACTATCTGCGCAGAATCCCTGTTACCCTGTCTCTCTGGTTATAGTTAATGGATCAGAGGAAATTTTTTATTGTGTTTAGGTTCAGCTGCAAGTAACAGAAACTCTCCCATCTTAAATAAGATGGGCATGCATTTCTCTCTCATTTGGTAGAAGCCTGGATTTACGCAGTCCTGGGCTGCTGTGGGAACTTCATCAGTGATCCAGGCTCTTCCTGCTCACACTCTGCTGTTTCCAGGGTGTGGCTCCAAGATGTCAGTTGGAGCTCCAGTTATCCCATCATCACATCCACCCCCAAGGAAACTTTCCAGAAGACTCACACAATAGTTTTGCTTGTATCTTATTGCATAACCCTACACTAGATTCAAGAGAAGCTGGGGGTGTAGTCTTTTGATTTGGTGAGCAATGTAAAAGTCAAGGTTTCAGCAGGCTCTTTGAAAAATATCAAACTATAAATTGGATTAAGCTAGTCAGATTCTTAAGAATTTGTACCGAGGGATTCTAAATCCTGATAATGGCAGGCTCTGGAGATGTGTAG